ATATATTCCCCAAAAACACCAGACGACCTTCTTAACCTGAACCAGCGAGGCAACCGAACAAGGCGGCGCGACGGAAGGGGAAAGAAGTCACCACATCCACCACTGAACATAAGAAAGCAGCACGGCGGCGGAGTCGTCCATGTCCTCATCGCCGTCCGCATCGTCGCCGCCCTTGACGGCAGCCGGTTCGCGCTGTAGCAGGGTGTCCCGACACAGCGGGCACGTCGCCCGCCGGTGCACCAGCCAGCGGTCGAGGCAGCGCCGGTGGAACAGGTGCTTGCATCTTAGCTCCCTGATCTCTTCGCCCTCCTCGATGTCGGACAAGCAGAAGACGCACTCCGCCGGCTCCTTCTGCCCCTCCGACGGCCGCTCGTACCGCGCCGTCAGTAGGTTGATGTCGCAGGGGTGCAGAACCTGGTTATGGCCGGAGGGAATCCGGCGAAAGCGGGAGCCGGGCGGCCATGTAAAGTGAGCTCTCGCGTGGAGCTGAACGATGGGCGTGAGGAGGATCCTAGTGAGAGAGAGCAGCAGGTTGGAGAAGGGAATCGAGAGAACGGAGATCAGCAGACAGAGCAGCAGTCCCATGATCACATCCACTCGGGAGTTGGAGGGAATGCGAAGCACAGGCACCGAAACTGGTATTTATAGTCGAATCTCACCTTCATCTTTTACGCAAGTATGTATACACGTACGTATAAACGTACATTCTTTCCACGTACTTTTGGTAGCGGTTTCCTGTTACTAAGTCTCCAGTCAATATAAACTTCACATCACTTCATTAAACGAGATGTTGTTGCAGGTTCTGACTTGCATCGGATGACAAGTGTCGATGAAGTTTTGACTCGGGACGTACACATCAACCATTAAACCGGAGATGGAAACAAAGAGGAGTCGAATCCACTTACAACGCATCACAAAACGGGGAATCGACCGCACTTAAATGCAGGTCAAAGCCATTGGTAAGGCTTTTAAGATGCGGACGCAATGTTGACACCTGTGAACGTGAGTGACACTGTTCTTATTGAGATCCAAAGCTCACAGTGAAGTCTGAAGTCGGGATGAAACGAGGGAGTAATTTGAGGCGATGATGTACCGAGAAAAGGGTGCATTCAATTGTGTGATGTGACATTGGGCTGTGGCCTCATGCGTGAAATCTGCACTGTATTATGTGACGATGTATGTGAGAAACAAGAACGCGAGAGGTGGATGTGGACCGGTATAAATGAACATTATGTTGGTCAACATGCTAGCTAGGTGCCCAACAAAGACGAAACCTAGTCAATCGATAACTCGAATTCTTCTCTGAGTTTGAGTTGCGTGAGTGCTACAATAGGAATCGAACGTGTAGAACAATTCTGAGACTTGCTGCGAAACTGTGCGATTAGAATAGCACAAACAGTTTCGAATAGTGCCGATTGCGAACCCGTAGATTGGGGGGGGAGGAACCTTGCTTTGGTTTTAGTGTTGACCGTGAAGTCAAGCACTGTCTTAATAGTGCTTGTAATGTAGGAAAAAGGCTCCTTGTTTTGGTTTTTGTGTCGACCTTGAAGTTGAGCACTGCCTTTTACTTCTCTGTAAGCTATAATAAACCCTTAGATTCCAATCATATTTAGTTACCATTTGAAATCTGATTCGATAGATTTTATATTGAGAACATTATTCCGATGAATAATTTGATTGATGTATAATTTCATGATTTTTTTTTATCATCTACATATTCTTTAGTCTTCGCATTTACACAGTTGTTGTTGTTATTTTGCACAATGAATGGTTAAGAAGAATTACAAAAGCATTTCTATCTATTTAGTATTGTCGAACATACAGAACACAGACAAAGGGAAGGCGAGAGAGAGAAAGAGAATTTTAATGATGTATTTAGAAAGAAATGCTACCTTATTTCAAAGATCATGGTGGGACGTGTAGACCAAACTTGTTGTATGAACTAAGCAAGAACATGGGATTGCACGTAGTTGGATCTGGTCGAAGGTGCGAGGTGCGTTTGAATCATCACATCATTTGACCTTGGCAACAGCAAAAGCGTGCCCCCAACTCTCACCAACCAAAAGAAAGCACGGAGTCAAAATATACATATATTGAAAGGTCTTATTTCCGAACAGCATAAAGGAAAAAAAAAAAAAGAGTATTTAATCCTAAGCAGAAACTTCAAGCCTCAGAATAGTGTACTTGTAAACCTGCTAAAAGACACCAAATCTTAATTGTCCTTTGGGTTTTAGCTGCAGCAGATGGCGTCAAGATTTAAGAGAGAGAGAGAGAGAGAGAGAGAGAGAGAGAGAGAGAGAGAGAGTTTGTGTTGCATGTAATCTCACAAAAAAAACTAAAAAAATTATCCTCAATTTCTCCTCCCATATGCTTTTATAGGTTGTAATCACCCGATTTTTTTATTACAGGACTTAAAGATCTCATCAGACGAATTTTTACGCCTAAAAAAAATAGTACGATAACAATTCACCTTAAATTGACGATTCAAATTCTTTAAAATGTCAGCATGGAATAACTAGTAAAGATGTTAATTCTTGATTAAAAAAAAAATCTTAAATAAAATCATTTATTTTTATAAAAAATAAAAAAAATAATGAATTGGACAGATTGTCTATCCTCTACTCTAAGGATCCTTAGGGGGTTAATTTTCTCTAATCCCAAATCATCGCTAGCCATGTTGCCTACTTATAGAATTCAGAGGCTAATTCTGGTCTTCTTTTTTGGCCTGTGATGATTCCCTGACCATTGACTTTGAAGCATATGACTTGTAGTTCCTATTCCTACAAATAGAGCCTCAGCTACATCAACTCCTAGTTTTGCCAGTTTCTCCATTAGAGACTCTTCCTGCTGTTAATTCTGTTTCAGCTGTAGGTTCCGATCCAAGGTAAGCAACTCCCCCCCTTAAATTCATGAAAACTGGCTTGATCTCAAAGACACAGATTGTTATGATCATATAAAATTTGAGATTCTGATCAATCAACTTATTTGTGATACTGATTTTGCTATATTCCCTTCGAATCTGTAGTCCTCTTGTTAGCACAAGGCATAACCTATAGTACTTCCATCTCTTCTTGAAACTTCAGTAACTTATGATAAGCTCAAATCCAACATATATTACCAGTTGAAGACCTGCTAACAAGATTATTTTCCTTGTTTTTGTTCTCTTGAAACAGATACTAGGGAGAAGAGTAGACATGAGTACTCATTACCTTGTTGCAGAGGGAGATCAGCAGCAGGTATCCAGGCATGATCATTTTCAAAAGCAGCTCAGCTCCATGAAGAAATCATGGTCCATCGATTCTCTTGCAAGCCTTGCAGAAGGAGGCAAAACCTGCATCTGTGCACCGACGAAGCACGTGGGATCCTTCCGTTGCAGGCACCATCGCCACTCCTCGAGCATCAGCCTAAGCAGCCAAGCCCAGCCACCTGCACCTGCAAAACTTTCAAGCTCATTGGAAGTTAATGAAGCTAAGTAACAGATATAAAAGAGATGTTGATCCTTGTTATGGTTTTATACAGATTGAAGAGGATCGCTGAGATTGGTCTGTTAATATTACTTATTACTTTTGATGTGTGGATACCGGAGATTGTCAGTAAACTGTGATTGCCTTATCTGTGTAAGAATACATGCTTATGTCAAAAATAAAACAACACTTGTGTGTTAAGTTTGAATTACTTGACCATGGCAACGCTATATCATTAATGTTTAGTAAATAGATGAATAGTACAATAGAACTGATACAATAAGTTACCTGAGCATGTGGTGGCCTCACAACATGACTTCAAATGCCAGCCATTTGGTATGTCACATGATCAACACTAAGTGCAGTTTAAATCTGAACCTCAGCTGAAGCAGAAATATTTTACTCCACAAGCATACATGAACATCGTAGTACAATCAATTAAGCAGATGTAAAAATCTAAAAGATATTTTACTCCTCGTTTCAATATGGCAAAACTACAAAGCCTCTTGCACGACCTGAAGTTGGAAGAATTGCAATATCCTAGTCCTCGATGTTTCAACAGCTTTAGTTTTTCCAAAGCTACAAGCCATTCTCAAGGAAGCGCAAGGAGCAGTGTGAGCAAGCAATATAAACGTTCTTCAACTTCCATTATTCATGTGGAGCTAAGTCCATTGTCTGGATTGGGGGAGAGGCAACCTCAGAGAATGCCAGAGTAGGACTGAAGCCATTGGATCTCTCATAAATCTCTCTGCACTCTTGACAAATGGCACACAAGTGGCAGAACAAATATGTGGCCAAGTCACCACACAGTGCTTCCTGGAAAGAAAATCAAATTAGAAATTAGACTATATTGGAGAATAGTCATCTCAACACTTTAGAAGGAGTATCAAGTATAATTAAAATAGAAAGGGGCAAAATAGGTCATCTCAATAGTATTAGTTCATTGTTTGCAACAACACTCTAGATTTCATTTCTATACAACCAAATATCAGAAAAATGCAATGAAACTCTTAAAATCTGTTCAACTATCAAATTTTCATGAAAAAAAATTAAGCCAAACAATGACCTCATAATGATTCAGTGCCACATTCATGCCTAGTTGTGATAAAAAGAAAATCTGCATCAGAGCATATTATAAAAACCATGTATTGATGTTAAAGACTATATCCATTCTGGACCAAGAAGTACAAGGACAGCCTTATGAAATCACAAAGGAAGATATGAATTGATTAAAAAACCATTTTTATAGCAACTTTTTTGTTGTTGCTTTGTTAAGCAGTAGGATCACTAGAAAAATTAAGTAAACCCTGAGTCAAAAGTCACTCAGAAAAAACAACTTGGGCCACACCACTTCCACTGAGATTTGCTACTGGAATGGGGTTGTGAAGATATTCCACAAATGTTTTCAAGGCACTGGCATACCTGCAGATTATACTTTGTATGTAGTGACTTGCGGTATCCACGTACATAACAAGCAACCACTGATCCTGGTACTCCATCAAGTAGACCTCTGGTGAACAGACAGCAGAGACTATTGACAAGACCCCACAAAATAAAATGGGTCATGCATGACCCTGCCAGTGTTCCAGATCCCAGGAATTCTGCATTTTTCCCAAACAGGAAGCATGGACATACAACACCAATACAACCTAAAAGAATCAAAAGATAAATAACTGAAACAACTTTTTGGCTACTCGTGAATAAGCAGCTCTTATCAAATGCAAAAAGAATCTTCCGATAATGGTAAAGACTCAAATAATATTATAGCTAATGTAGATTGTATAAACAAACATGCATAATGAAACATGATATATGTTCTCATAGGATGGAAAGCAAACCAATTTTGTTTTCCAGTACTTATAAATGACAAAATAAAACTATTTTTCTACAGAAAATAGTATGAAAGCTTGATGACATGCTTATTATCATAATAAGTAAGATATCATTGAAGAAATACAATAAAGTTATCCTAATTTTCAGAGGACTCATTCCAGGAATATTTTCTATGGAATAGCAAATGTGGTTTACAAACAATTTATCTAAAGTCTTAAAGCCCTTTGAATGAAAAGGCCACTCAACGTGCTTAAATAAAATTGAGAATGCTACAATTTTTATTTTGTTCATATGATTGCTTGAAAATCAAATATTGTTTAAACTTTAGTCATTTTTTATTTAGAATATTTAAATTTATTAAGGTACAATTTGGCCATATCATCTATATATGATAATGGTGCACGGAAATAACCAAAATTTGTAGAGGTGAAGTAGCATGGATTGATACCTTCCAGAAATTATGTTTTCGTGAAGTGTTGTAGACAAGCCTTACTCCTGCATGCATATAGACAATAGAGAAAGACCCAACTGCTTGCATAACTAGCGATACAGCATAGTAGTAATTAATTTGAGCTGAGTCTAGAATCCCTATCTTCTCAAACAATTTCTTTTCAAGAGCTCTAGGAATACTATTATGTTGCATTAAATGAAAAAATTGCACCTTGAATTCTTTTTCTTCTGAAAATTAAGTCAGATGGCAGAAAGTAGCATACAGCTCTGCAAATCATCGAAGCAAGCACAGATTCCAGAAGACCATTATGTCATGTCCTGTGTTACAGATAGGTGAGAAGAGGAACTTGCATTCACAGGGTTACTGTCAACTTCAGTATCCTACTGATGTAGAGGAATATATGGAGGTGGAATATAGCTGCCTTGCCCTTTCATATTCACTGAAGGATGATCACAAAATTGTTTCTGATACCAATATCAAATGAACATCATCAGAAGATTGGGAACACATTACTGAACTTAGATTAGCAGATTAGCTGTGTGATCCATATTTACATATATGACACAAAAATTAAACCAGAGAGTCTTTCTTTATTTCGTAGTTTGTTTTCCTTTGGTAAGAAAAAGCTTAAAAGATTGAATCTGAAACATACTAAAGAACGGTCCAAAAAAGGGCGTCACTCTACCCCGTGCCCTATACACAGCCACATAAAAATCCCTTCTTTTGCCTCTGATGGAAAAGAAGTAAAGAAGGACGAGACATTAAATCCCCAAAAAGTAATCTTTAGCAAGAAACAAAAGCCGTCATATTTCCATAAAGTCAAAGAAGGAATATTCAGCTCAAATCCTAAAAGCGCGTCGGAGAACCAAAGCAAAATTATCGAATAGAAGTCGAAACCTACAACGATCCTTCGAACGACCCACGGCAATCCCAAAGATCTTAACAATGTGCTGATTTCTAAAGAAGCAAAGGCAGAAAGAGAATACTTACCGAGGAATTGATCAATTGGCGAGGGCTTCCACGAATTCAAAATGAAGCTTCAACTGGTCTCCTCCCCTCCGTTCCAAAAGCCGAACTTTTGTTTGGTTCTTATTTCCCCGATTAGAAGAGAGAGAGCGAAGAATCGAAGTGGTTATGCGGAGAAGGCGGCGGCTGAGATTACGTCGAGGTGTCGTATCTGAAGTCGCGCCGGAAATTACACGCAGACGCGACAAATTTCGCGGGCTGTTAGAACACATGCAAACACAAGAGGGCATATTCGTGGATATCCATCTTGTTAGGGGCGTACTCGTAAAGTACGAGCCCATTGCTGGCTTCGTCCGACCGACGGCACGACAGCTGCAAGCATTCTCCCTGCCCTCTGGTTCTAGGGTTCGACTTCGAGGAATACAACGGACTGGGCGGTGAGAGAGAAACCCTTTTGTATGATCGAGACCCATGAGCAGCTCTCCGAAGATTTAAAGTAAATCAAGAAAGACGCGAAGGGTTCATCCATATTGAGGTTGATTTCAGCGAACCCAACAAGAATCTGGTAAGTGTGATGGGAAAGAAAGATGATATTTTGAGTGAGAAAGAGATGTTTTGTTGGAAGCATTAGCCGTGGCTTCGTGAGAACATTGACAAGATGTGATCTTTAGGCTACTGTACGTTTGGGATTCCTCTGAGTCTATTTAGCGAAGACTCATTGTTTATAAAAGGATTCCACCCGCCCCAAGCATGGCTTGAGCATCAGATGGGGCAGCTTTTAGTTGATTTCCTAATGTTCTAAGCATAAGAATAGTTTAACCTCTATGACTTGTGAAATCTTGGCAGTTTATATTATATTACATATCTATTGCAAATTCAGGTGTAGATAACTAAACGTCTATTTGCTTGAATTTGTTTGTGATTGATTTAGATGTTCCAATGTGATTATGATACCAAAACAAATTGCATCATCTATTTAAAGATCATTACCTTCGTATTCTCACTTGAACATTTAGATCAGAATGTGGAACCTGTTCTTATAAACGAACACATCCTCAATCATTGGTTCCAAGTGCACTCTGAATAGTGCAATGAGGACTATATAGGCTTGTCTCTTTTACTGCAAGGAACATATCCTCTTTATGCTGCAGGAAACAGGGGAGGGTTATGGTATAAGCATCAGCAATAAGGGTTGTTGTCCCTATGTTTGGGATTATGGATTGCCAGCAATACAATTTGAGATGTATAATTTACATTGTTTTTTGTTTATGAGGACATGCTAGCTTGCTAAATTTATGCAAATTAAAAAGTTTGTAGGGCATTGAACTCTCAATATGTGACATGTAGCATGAGACGCGAAGGTTAGATGGTATTATTATGCACGTCGATGACCACGTGCCTCCATTGAAACCATTTTTTATTATTTTGTTTATTTAATTGAACTTTTTGAAATCATCACTCCGCGAGAAGTTTCAGCTCCTGCACAGGGTTTATCATGTTCTTCCATGCGAATTTTCCTTTAATAAGCATACCCATGGTGATAATCTTGTTTCGCCTTTTTGCAGATTTTCCAGTCAAAAACATACAAATGACATGCAGTTGCCTGTAATTTTGAAGCTTTCAGGAGCTGGCTGCCTGTTGAACTTATCTAGAGGACTCGACACCATAAAAGATTTTGAGGTCCTTGGTGGTCTCATGCCAAATATATATTGTCAGGTGGGCCTTCGGTTGTTGAAGTAGGCATGCTTGTTGCGTAAGCAAATAGGAAAGGGAGAACTAATGCTTGATATGTTGGTGTATTCCATTGTAGAGCAAATCTTGCAAAAAAGGCTCCTGATGTTAATTTCAGCCACTGGAAGCCTCTTTTCCATAGACTCTGGCTGCTGTTGCTGTTGCTGTATCTGCTGCTGGTGACACTTAGTCGATGAAGTTATGGTATGGGCAATCTTTATTTCAACCACCAGGCTTCATGAGTAAGGTTTTTGATTTGAGAGCTCTCATTCTTGATCCAACAGCCCTCACAACCGCAGAAGTCGTAAACAACTCATAAGTGGATAAGGGAAGGGCTCTTAGGTAGCATGGACCACAGGTCATGCATACATCTGCAGATTCTTACAGAAAGATTCTTGGGTAAGCATGACTCTTGGACATGATGAGGATTAATAATTGGACATGCTTGCGTCGGCCCTCAATTGCACTTGAGCTACTTAGCATAAGGTTTGTCTTAAAGCCATTCTTTATCAGCAAATGTAGAGTTGACCATGCAACCTATCACTAGAGTGCAATGGAGCATTATATTCATCGTCATACTGTCATCATCATTGCTCATTACCTTCATATTTTCTCGATCAGGGGAAGCTGGGATTATGACACTAATGATGAGAATCCTGGTTAAGATGATCATCAGTATTATTCATTACAATTGTATCTCTCAGACCTGGGGAGACTTGGATTTGCCGTATGTCTGTCATCTTAAGACCAACATGGGAAGAGGTACATTGACTGGGTATAATCATGCAAACAATTTTTGTTATATGCTGTATTTCAAGTACATTATGGAGAGTGTACATAAGCAAAATTATATATCCTGTGGTTTACTTATCACCATCTTTCTGGCTGCTCGAGGATGATTGCAGGCATTGTTCAACTTCTGCTGCTGGACAAGTGGACCCAACCTAGATGGCATGAACAGATGTTAGTTTTTTTCACGAGAAACACATCATTCAGTTTGATTTGAAGACTGCTTAGATCTTTCTTATACTATGTTCTTGATCCCATGGGACCAAAACTTGTCTGGTTCTAGGAAGCAACTCGCATCATAAGATTACAAAAGGTCATGTATCAGTCAGTATCCATTAAAAAGAAGTGACCCATGTATCAGGATCTCTAGCTGCGGGACTCAGTGCCATGTCATTGTCTTCTTCCCCCACCAACTCTCTCCATCTCAGATCGTTGAACCTTTTACTGTCACAGACAGCATGAACGAAGAACACTGATAAAAAAAAAATGCAGGTGACTTGGAACTACATTCTGTTTTGACCCTACAGATTGCAAAGAAGGTATCAGGATCACCCACGTGGGTGTGAAGGCCTGTGAAACATTTTTGCGTTCTAGGGTTCATACCCATGACTCCAAGATCACAGAGCTGAAGACAGCCAAGACGAAGGCCAGGTTTCAATGGTCTCATAATGAATGCACTTATTACATTGCCATTTTACATTTTCCATTAAATGGTACCATCTTTTAATGTGCATAAATGCCGTTAGTGAATATTCAAACTAATGATTTCAAGCAATAATTTATCTTTTTTTGATGGAAATTTCAATGGAAGAAAATTGTGGAGGGTAAATGTGGAATTTCACAGTGGCAAGTTATATAACCCCGATTGCTTTCTTTTTCTTCCTTTCTTGTACGACCGTATTAGAAGAAGGGTCAGCAGTGGGTTTCTCTCTCTCTCTCTCTCTCTCTCTCTCTCTCTTCCTTTCTCGGCCACTGAGATCCTCCTCTTTTTGCATGAATTCCAACCAGCCCGATCGCGAAGATTCTGCTTTCGTGGGATCCTGTAAAGATCGCTTCTTGAGCGCAACACGTAGCGTCTCCCTTTGGCCGCAGGTGGGCGTGATTTTCTTGACTGACTTCGATCATTGCCTGTTTCATGTGTTTTTCCTCTTCTTTCTATTCGGACGGTTGTCGGAGGCATTTTGGTGACCGATTTACAAAGAAGTTGGATTCTTGTAGTGTTAGCGTCGACCTTTTCTTTCGTAATTTTGGATATCAGTTTGAAATTTGGATACTTTCTATTAGGTTGTGCGAATTTGTCGTCGTTTTTACGTTTTAATCGCTCGGGGTCGAAGTCTTACTGTTGGTATTTTGGTTCTGAGACGCGCAAAAGGGTTAATTGTTCTTGAAAGTTGTAGGACTATTAATCGATTCTGTGCCCTGGATTTGAGTCAACGAATTATTAGGCTTGCTTTCGCGTTTCCATTGGAGTCAAAATCTATCTGTTTGTGAGAGGATGACCGTCGAATTGGTACTACATTTAGTTTTCATCGTTTAAGCTTTCTTCTTTATTTGTAATAAAATCATTCGAAAAATGTTTTTGTCTTTCTTTAATGTGAATAATACTTTAATTGCTTTATCTTACTCAATCTTTGGGTTCAGCCGTGCGCCTAACTCGGTGGTTGGCTGTTTATCCGAGTTGGATAGCTTCGGTTTTAACGAATTTACAAGCGAATTATAACTATGTTTTGATCGCATGCATTGTTCTTGTTTCCACTATGGTCATTTGTATTTCATTTAGTTGCTTTACTGGAGTCAATTATAACTATGTTTTTTGCTTTTCATACACTTCATTCGGTACCCAGTTTATGTCCAATCTGCTTGATTTCTCTTGTAACATGTTTCTGATTTAAGTGAAAAAATGTGACAAGGATTGAAATTTATCTTCTTTTGGCTTACATTAAGAGTCTTGAATGTGATGTTCCATGATGTAGCCATCAGAGAAAATGTTACTGGTGATGACTTGTGTATGGTCCGTTTCAGTAATAAATGTCAAATATCACCTTGATATTTGAAGTTCTTGTTTTATTTCATAGTACCTCTCCTTTCTATGCTACTGCTAGGGTTATTAGAGCATCTTTCTTTGTTACAGATGGATAGCCTTATACACAAGTATGCTATGTATGTATACTGTTGATTTGTTGCTAACTGTATGCTGGAAACTGGGTACAGTGTTGTGTTTTTTAATGAATGGGGGCTGCAAACTCAAAGAATGAAGAAGACAAAGCGCTTGTTCTTTGTAAAGAAAGGAAGCGGTTTGTTAGACGAGCTCTTGATGAAAGGTGCTCGCTTGCAGCTGCTCATGTTTCTTATGTTCAGTCTCTCAGAAATACTGGAATTGCACTTCGAAAATTTGTAGAGCCCGAAGCCCCTGCCGAATCTTCCTTGTATACGTCAACATCTGCAACACCTGAGGCTTTTGCTTTTATTCATAAGCCTGTTTCCCACTTCTCGAACTCATCTCCATCTCTTTCACAGCATGTAGAGACAGCTGAATCATTTTCTCCAGTACCTTCTCCCCTCTCTTCTGGAGGCCTTCATGTAAATCATATGAAAGCCAGGAAAACTTCTTACATGACAGTAAAGGAGAAACTTCCAATTTCAGCAACAGCTACTCAACGAACCTCATCCACCACTCCGAAGCACCTAGTGTCGGGATTAGATGAAACTTCGTCCTCTGAATCTCCCTCGACGCCCCCGCAGGCACAACCATGGGATTATTTTGGTCTTTCTCATCCTATCGACAAAAAACTTTCCTTTCAGAACAACAGAGGATTGAACCATGGTTTTGATAATGCTGATGAAATTAGTTGTCTCGGGGAAGAGGAGGGAATACCAGAATTGGAAGATGAAGGAGACAGAAGAGCCTCCACGAATGAAAAGAGTGACTTGGACTCAGAAGATGATTTTGATGAACCATCAAATGAAACCTTGGTACGAATGTTTAAAAATCCAAATCTCATTTCAGAACGTCAATTACAAAGTGAGCATCCAACCAGACAATTTATGAAAGATATCATTTCTGAAGCTAAGCATCAGAATGGGGATAATATGAAGCTCATAAATGGTACCTCTGAGACCTGCGAAACTCCTGAAATGACACCAACAACAGTGGAACCTGATGAAGTTGCAGTTCCTATAAATGCAAAGGCCAAAGAATCTGATCCACAAATTAAACATGACTCGAGAGATTTTTTGTCCTGCATGAAAGAAATTGAAGAGCTATTTATGAAAGCTTCTGAATCTGGAAGAGAGGTTCCGAGGATGCTGGAGGCAAACAAAGTGCAATTCCGACCTTTATTTCCTGAAGAAAAAGGTAAGACAATAATGTTGATCTTTTAGTGCATCCTTTATCTTTGCACAAAATTAACAAACAGATTTACAGCACTAAATGTGTTGTTTTAGTTCCTCCTATATTTTATCACCTCCTTTGTTCCATTATAATTAAATAGATGATTTAATATCAAGTGTTTGATGCAGCTCACAGATCAAAGGCATCTGCTTTCTTCACAAACTGTCTTGCTTGTTGTAAAGAAGGAACATCTTATCCTCATGGTAGATCTACCTTTCCCTTTATTTGAGCTTTGTTCTTTTCATCTATGGCTGTCACAATCTAATGAGTTGATATCTTGCATCTCTCCACGATTGGACATCATTAATGAACTCTGGTTCTGATTGTGATTGTGGACTTATGACACTCATGGGCTTTTTAACCCAAAAAAATTCTGACTTGCATCATTTTTTTCCATTCTTTATGGGTTTGTTTTTAGTTTTTCTGATGTTTAAGCATTTAATATCTTGAATTTATATTGCAGTATATGTTACAAATGAGATGAAGTACTTAACGTGGCATAGGTCAATGTCATCGCTCTCATCATCATCCAGGAATTTTCTTGGCCCAACAGTAAAAGATGATACAGAGGACCTGAGCAGTAGTCTCTTTGGTAACATGTACATGAATTCAGGTAGCCATGCCTCAACATTGGATAGGCTATATGCATGGGAGAGAAAGCTTTATGATGAAGTTAAGGTTGGTAGTTGTTTAAACTTTATACACTGATAAGAATTCATAATTTTATCTATTTGCATCTGTCTGGTATCCCTTGATTGTTTACTCGGAGGAAGCCATTTTAATTCACCATATAGGCATATAATTCAGAATACTAGGAATGAGTAGAAGGGAAAGAATTTCTGTTCCTGGTCATTGAAAAGGAAGTTGCATTACAGTTTAATACACGATCATCGAAACTGCACTTTTGACTGTCTATATTTACTAGTTAGTAATCAGGACACCATTATGGTCAAGTTATATGGACATCTGGTTCTTTCATTTGCTATATCTTACTGAAAGTGGACTGGATGGGAGGCTTGTATTTTGGTATTCTCTGTGGCTAACAATATCTTTTCCAGAAATTGAAGGGGATCAATAACTAAATATTTTCTGGTTAGTGATATATTTGAGAACCTTAACAGTATTGGTTTCATAGACTGAGTCTACAAGTTACTTCATCAGTATTCTTTTTTAGTTCAACGCATGTAGGTTGACGTGGACGTACTTCAAATGCTTAACTATTTACTTGTGTTTGTTGACATATAAATTGTTTTTTATACGTTATGGTTCACGGAAATGGACTATCCAAGATCCTGCTCAGAATTATGTATCTAAATTGGAGGTATATCTTGCGTTGTTTTATTTATTA